CTGTACAACTTGTATGATTCCAAGTTTCTATCCAACTGAAAACTTGGATGATGAGAAGCTTTCCTTATTTGGTAAATTTAGACACTACCACAAATGAAAGAATCAAACTCACATTTCCATTATTGCTAGAAACGTACAAACATTAATTTTTCATAAATGCCATTGCAAGGAGATATAAAACAAAGTAACACAAACTTTTATTTATTTATAAAATGCAGAAAAAAAACTTTTCCTTACAATGCAACTTTAAATGAAAACTATGCTATTACATGTTTCCTAGCAATCTATCATAACTCCTAAGAGTAGCTCAAGAATTCGACCTTCAATCAAGCGATAGAAATTCATATTCGCGGTAAGATTCAGCATACTCTTTCGTTAAGTTTCCTTCACTTTTCCTTTGATTCTTAAAACATCAACATGTGACCCAGTCACATCATGTAATAAGAATCTCAGCATAAAAACTTAATCGAGTTAGATAGTGGACTTTACCTAAAGTAGAGTCAAACTTATTGACTTTACCACCCTTATGATATTTCAGGTAAATTTGGCAGCTTCGCAACCAATGCCCTTTCCTTTTTGAAATAGAACCATATGGGCCCTTTGGGAATGGTACATGGGACAATCTCAGACTTTGCCTTTCTCTTTACCATTTGGTCAACCAAGTTGACTATGGACAACCCCTTTCTAATGGGAAGAGAAAGCTTTTACTAGGTATCCAATGCAACCATTTTGAATGTCCTTTGAAGGTTTGGGAAGTTGATCTACTAATCTTTAAAGCTCCAAATCATTGTTGATTCAGCAATACCAAGCAAATAGATAAGATCATTAAGGGTCATATCATAGTCTATTTCATAGTAGTCCCAAAGGTAACTCACTATGTGACTTAGAAAGTAATTGAACATCCAACTTTCTTAAGACATTGACACCCAACTCTCCCGACTTATCAATATGTGACTTTATCTCCAAGATGTGAGCACACATAGACTTTTCTTGCCAATAGGGCTTGAGTGAACTTGAACTTGTGGGTTAGGGAGAATAATTCGAGGAGGTGGAGGAAGTGAAGTTCCAAGAGATTTGGGAAGATCATAGATGTCTTAATTAGACATCTTTTGAGAGATATTCAAGATAGTTTATTTAAAGTCCTTAATATAACACCCAATATAAAATATTAAGGCTAGGACCCAACACAATATTTTATAACTTGAAAGAGGGATGCTGTAATCCAAGCTATAGAATATTTGAAGGTAGGTGAATGACGATTCAGCAACTTCCACCATGAAAAATGAAATAATTTATTAGGTTTTTATTTGAAACTCCTAGATCTTTTGAGAATCATTGAACTGTTCAATGGCATGTTTCAATCTCGAGTATGCCCTTCAGGTTTTGTGATTGGGATGCCGAGGATCACAAAACAAGATGTGAAGTAACCATTCAAATTACTTGGTACTCTTAAATGTTTACCCCTCAATCGATGTGCCGATTAACCACACACGCTCCATCGATACTATGATAAACACTAAGTTACCATTTTCCTACCTTGTTAAATACGAGTTAGTGTGCCGGTTAATCACACACGCTCCACTAACCGAGTTAAACAAAGTGCAAAGTGTAATTTCATGGATTAGCACCTTATTCACATTTTCCTAAAGTAACTAAGGTTGGGTATTATAAAAAAAATATTTAGTTACTTTATATTTATCATTAATAATTTTAATGAAGGGAGAATTATAGTCCTTTTCCTACCTGTTCGGATAACGACCCTTCATCAGTCAAGGAAGCGGCAGGTAAGAGTGACACCCATTAAACTGCCATTTTATAGGTAGTAACCTTATACCCCCCCCCCCCCCCCTTATAGACCAACTTCGTGAATGAGGCCTACTAATGGTAAGACAACTTGGTCTTATACATACATACATACATATATATATATATATATATATATATATATATATATATATATATATACATACATATATATATATATATATATATATATATATATATATATATATATTATATATTACTAACTTATAATATTATAAAGTATAATGGTTGAATTTTAACTTTTAAAATTCTAAGAGCTTAACTTGGAATTAAAGTATTCATGGGAAAACTTTACAAATTCCGAAACTTGAGGGAAAGTTTTGAAACTATTCAAAACTTTTCATTTCATAACTTATGAGTTTAATGGTTCATTAAATGAAGACTCTTCATTTTTTTATGTAACCTCTTATTCTTTAATAACACTTTTAAAGAAGTAAGTCTTAAACATCCATAACTTGAGGACAAGTTATGGAGTCATAATACTATTTAATGAAAAAGTCTCTTCATTTTTTATGTATCCTATGACACTTTTATGAGTTTTAAGATTCATAAATGTGACCTTTTATGTAACTTGACGACAAATTACAAAAGCACATTTTATGAACTACCTCTAGATTAATTAGGATTTAAAACATCTAAAAGACAATTTTTTTTCATTAATCTAAACAACTCATAAATCAAGGAAACATAAAACTTTCGGTAATCCATAACTTATGGAGTTAAATGCTTGTTTTATGATGAAACTTTTCATGTTCCATAACTTAAGAATAAGTTATGGAATTCGTTTAAAACATTAACACCAAATTTTGTAACTCCATAAAAACTTTGAACCAATTTTTTGAAAACCTTTTCATATCCATAACTTATGGAGCTTTAAAAAAAAAAAAAAAAAAAAAAAAAAAAAAAAAAAAAAACACTATTTAGATCAAACTTTTAAAACTAATAAAATAATCATATCATTTTATCTTTTACTAAATTTGACCTAATTCAACTCATATAGCAAATGATTCAAATTTCACAAATAATTAGTTTTTTTTTTTTAAAAAACAAGTAATTATCTTAAAATTTGACAAACATCATTTTTTTTCCTTTTTTTTCAACTTTGAAAATAAAACATTTGCATCAATATAATAGAAAACAATCAGGCTCTGATACCACTATTGGGTTTGAGAATTCTAACACTCCTATGTATACATGCAACCCTAAATACCTTGGATATATGTTTTCTCTATTATACATGCAAATATGAATATTCCAAAGTATTACCCTAACTAGCATACAATCTTTCCATACTTGAATAATAAACTAGATAGAAATACATACCTTGTTAATGTAGCTTGACTCCATGAAGCTCGAGAGCCCTGTGCCCCAAGTGTAACACCTCAAATGGTTCACACAACATCATCAACACTTGGAATAACCATGAGAAGAAGACACTTCATGCTCAAATCGGCTAGACCTCATATAAGTGACACTAGTGCTAATTTCTTGAGCTAAAGGGGTCTTTATATAGTGTGGCTATTAGGGTTACACCATGTAACTCATGACCTTACCCATTCCTTATGCTCCATGGGTTTTAACCTCCATGTAGTATCCATGGGTCACCACATGGGTTAAACCCAACATAAGGAATCTTAGAATATAAGCCCACATATATAAGAATTAATGATTTACACTATCAATCCCCATATATTTAATTAGTCTCTTTTGATCACTAAATTAAGTCCAAATTAATTCTTGACCATGCCGAGTCAGTTCAAGTAGATACCAATTATAGTTATGGACTTAGACACTAATCCAAAAGTTTTATCACCTCGTGCCTGCTAACCCTAGTACGTGAAATTGTACTAATGTTAACGCAAACGTGGAAAGATATATTAGTATGTTTTATCACCTCGTGCCTGCTAACCTTGGTAAATGAAATCGTACTGGTGTTAATGCAAACTTGGAAAGATATATTAACATCTTAATTTGTTACAAACAATGAATTAAGGATACGATGTCTTCCTAGAGTAATAGGAACATCATATAGGTGTGTAATTCTTGAATTTTTCGTCTGTTATTATTATAGTGTGTTCCTCTCTGTACTTGTTATAGTATGCTCTTCTCTGTACTTGTTATAGTATGTTCTTCTCTAAACTTGTTATAGTATGAACCGAACCCCTAAACTATACCTATTATACTTTTCTAGTATGCTTACTTGAAGTGATACTGACTTGAAGAAAAGACTAATTTTTTTTTTCTATTAAGTTATGATTGTACTTTAAAAATAGAATTTTGTAAACTATATAGTAACATAACTTTAAAATAGTTTTTGAGACGTTTTGATCACTTATTAATACATAAGAAATCCTTTAAAATATGTTTATAACAAAACATTACACAATTATCAGTTGTGTTCAACTTGTATTCCCCCCTTAAAAGCACACTACTAGAAAAATAGCCTTTTACGATGCGCAATTAATGACACACATGGATAAAGGGTGCGCATTTGTGCGTGCCCTAAAAATTAATGTCAGTTTTCCAAAATTTGAAGGATAGAAGACACCCATTTTGGCATGCCCTTAAATTAGTGTTAGAAAAAAAAAAATACGGAGGGCACCTATCAAAAACTGTGCGTCGTGTAACTGTGTTGCTTTATATTTCTTTTAGGAAACACGTGTTTTTAGGGGGGAAAAAATGAAATCCAAAAAATTAACCCCGCCTATTCATCCCAAAAATTCCCCGCCTCTTCGAATTAGGGCCTTTGTCTTCATCCACATCTTCCTCAATTCCACGATCCATAACCTCCACCAAAAACCTAATTCTTGGTTCCAACAAACTCTTACACTCTTAATTCGACCCTAATGAGCTGAGGATTTAGGGTTCTTACCTCCCAGTTATCAATTTGAGCTGATGATTTAGGGTTCCTAAATCCGACCCTAATTTTTTCTATCCCACTCTCGTATTTCCATCTCATCCCTCTCGCCTGGATTTGCGCCTGGATTTGTTAGGGCTTGTTTCATCCATTCATTGCCTCCCTACCACAAGCGATCTTATAACTCTGCCTAATCGAACTCTTCAATCATCTTTTCTATATCTTCATATGGTAAGAGCTTCAAGATTTATCTCTTTCCTAATTAGTGAGTTCTTTTGTTTTTACTTGATTGCTGAGTTTGTTCTTCATCGATCTTCACATGTTTCCTGGAATTTTGCCTGTCAATCGCTTTATTTGCAGCGAAGATACAAGCTCTTTAGATACTCTGGTCAAAGACATCATTGGCTCCCCTCCCGTCGTTGTGGTCGGTCTTCCTTCTCCTCGCTGCGGTCGGTCTTCCTTCTCCTCGCCGCCATCGCCACTGCTTCTTCCACCCTCGCCGGCGTCAGACCTTCTTTCTCCTTGCGAACATCCTTTTCTTCCTTCCCGTCGCTGGCATCCTGAACTCGTTTGGTAAGAGTTTTATGTTAGGGTTCAAATCATATTAGCCTTGCTGGATATCAGAAAATGAAACTGCTGGCAGAAGCTGATAAACCAGGAAGCCTTATCAACAACTACGTGACTCAATTAAGTTGTATGTTTTCAAGAAAAGCAACAAATCTTGTGAGCCTCCAAGCCCGCCTCAAAAGGTTCCATCATCACGTCAAGGAGATTCTCAGCCATAAAAGGTTACCTCGTTAACACCCACACCTACTCCAATTTACCTTGTAATCTCTCTCTCTCTTTCTCTCTCTCTCTCTTGTATGTGCAAAAAAGACGCAAATGTCCTCAATCATCATCATCCTGATCATTTTAATTGTAGGAATCGAACGAGAGTGGACTGTGATGTGAGTGTGGAGATTTGATTTCTTTTGGTTTTGGTTTTGGTTGGTTAAGTTTTGATTTGAATTAATGGTGTTTTTGTGAAGAAGTGGAAATAAACAAAGAAAAAAACACAAGGTATTGCTTGTTGCTCTGCAGGTTTGGTTTTTACTTTTTGTATATGTAATGCTTAATTACACCTTCCTACACCACGAAACTTATTATAATTATTATTTCATATTATGAATGGTGTTGCACATATAGAATACATTCCACTATTCGCCAGTCAATTAGGTGTAGCCTTTTTTTATGATAAACTTAGTTCTCTTTGAATGTAATGGTTACAAGACAATGTTATTTAAAAAAATATGGATTTGAGTAAATTATATTTTTGTTTTTGACAAGGTTAGGTACGTACTGCTCCTATAGTTGTATACACTTCCAGGAAAGGCTCATCTGCAGCTGGGCTTATTGCTTCTGTCATTTGTGATAACAACACTATAACTTTCTTATCTTTTTACTTTTTTTATACAAATATTCTACAACACCCTTCCATATTAGGGCTGCCATACATGAAGCCATGGAACAACAAACAATATCCATAACCAAAGCAGGAATAACAACAATTTTGAATTCCAGGACTTCTGTATTAGCTGCAACAAAGCCTCCATCAGGTCGTTATAATGATCTCAAAACTGCACAAGATAACATTGACTTATAGAGTACAATTCTTTCAAGATTTGACCTCATCTTCATTGTCAAAGATATAAACATGTTCAGCCAAGACAAGGTATTTTTATATATATTTATTTAATTATGTTGTTTATTACCCAATATATATATATATATATATATATATATATATGTATATATATATATATATATATAATTATCCATATTGCTGCTAAATATATATATTTATTTAATTATGTTTTTATTACCCTAAATATATATAATTATTTAATTATGGTGTAGATGGTAGAGAACTTGTACATATTCTTCTTGGTGTTGGAGTTGAAGCTACTTCTCAAGACACTCAACATGGAGGTACAACTCTGCAGCCTACTGCTATGACTAATGATTTGGAGTTAGTTAAAGTAAGTTTATTTATTTATTCTTCCATCAATTTCCTCTAGTGTGTTGACATTTTATGTACAGAAAGGCATGAATGAGTTGAATTGGTTGGACCATTAACTGCTGTTATGTTTGAACAGATTATTCCTTATGCTGGAGTTGATGTGAACATAAGGAATGTGCAAAAAACCATTCCTTTGCATGTGGCAGTGGCAAGAGGATCAAAATCATGTGTTGGAATGCTTCTTTCTGCAGGTGGTCTGGTAGAAAAAGGCCTTCCCTTTCCTTTGCTGAGTATTTCCTCAGTAGTTTCCTGCTTAGTATCGCCCTCTCCAAATCCATTTCCCTTGTGTTTTTACTACCCATCAACAAACAAACAAAAAAACAAAGATGAGTATGAGTAAAAAAATTAAATGCAAGTATTATGATTCATATGTGTAAGCAAACCTTGAGGCGTGATCTACTGCTTTCTGGAGGAAGGATAGTCGGCGGAGCTCAATCTCGATGTAGACGGAATCAGATGGACCGCCTTGGATGAGCAAGAAAAGGTAGGTCCTGTGAATCAATGGAATGTTGCATTCATCCCACAATTTTATTATCTTCCTTATTTTCTCCTCAAACAACAAATCCCAGTCATTATCTTCCTTTGCTGATCCAATGGCTCGAGGTGTCTCCGCCTGATATCATAACCAAATCAATAATAACAGACTCATGACTCATGACTCATGAATCAACAACTATTCTTTCCTTACCATGTAACTAATGTACTCTTCTTTAAGATCATCCCTCATGACTTCTTTAAGTGTTCTGGTTGGAGAATAGATAAAAATACCCCCACTCCCCACAGTCTGCTTCATGCCTTTTTCATTAGAATCTTGTCTCCACGAAGATTTGATATCTGATTCTGATTTGGATTGAAGACTTCTTCCGGAAGCATCCCCTTCAACTTCCTTGGTAACCAATCTTTAGCCACCACATTGTATTCAGGAGTCATCTTTTCAATAACTGCATTGCAGCTCGTGCTTCTTGTCAAACTTGTGGTTCTTGAATAAGTTTTGTCCACAGCTGAAGAACCCGAAGAACACTCTAGTTCTTTGCAGCTGCCTGATGAATTTGACCTTGATTTCTCCCATTCGTGGGATGGGTCGGGTAAATATCGATCCATGAACTGACTCGAAGAGATTCTATCAAAAAAGTAGGAGTCTTCATTTGGGATGTTTAATTCGTCCTTGTTATATGTCGTGATTGGAGCATTGAGGGATGTGTCTTATGATGGCAAACGCCTGTCCCATGAACCAGTACGTAAGGGCCGAGATTCATTCTACATCATATAACAGAATACATTCTAAGTTGATGAGATTAAAACAAACTCGAAGATCGATTAGATCTATGAAACAGGTAGAGAAACAACTAGATAATCAATTAAGAACAAGCAAATGGATCAAAAGGTGTCGAATGATTTAATAAACAATCCTCAAAAGAGCTCGATAAAGAACATCAACTGTAGAGGATTTTAGGGTTTACAAATAATCAATGAGAGTGACCACCGTTACAATACGCATACATGCATGCATATATTTATAATAAAACCCTAACAGTTTTCCTAAGAAAAAGAACGCTATTCTAGATAAACACGGATTGACAAGCCCAATCCGGCTGTAAAACATAAGGGCCCAAGACGCAACACAATAATCTTCAACAATCTCCCCCTTTGCGTCTTTGGCACAGAGCCTTCATTCCCTTTTAACAGCAGAAGGCTTCTTCACCGTCTCAAAAATTCTCGGTATAATAGCCAGAATGTGATGCCTGAAGGTAATATACCATCGAAGCATATCAGTGAAGTTCTTCTTGTCTATTGTAGAGTTCTGCTTGCATCGGTGAATGATGTTTATGATATGCTCCAGACATTCTGTTGAAAACAGATGCTTGTCTACCAAAGCAAATAGAAACTTGTGCTTGTCGCCTCTTGTGAACATGACCGTCAGATTTGAAGAGTCAATTTGCCCTAACTTCATTTTGTGTACGTCTCCTGTCTTGGAAGTAGGCTTGACGGTCGGTTTCTTGTTCATTATTTTTGCTATTTCCTGATCCATAGTGGCGAGCTCATGGATATAGGAAGCCAACATTCTTTTGAGATGTTTTAGAATCGGTTCATACTCTCTTTGATTGGAGAGAAGAACGTTGTATAGCAGAATCCAATCATGAGGATTCAGACTGGGAAGATCTACCGGAGAAATAAAATGTTCTATGTTGGCCGTTTCTCTGTTGATTTTGAAGTTAACATTCACAAATTTCCCAGCCTGTGTTGGTTTCAGTACCTTGACTTTAATTATCTTCTGTGCACTCCATGTCAAGTACTGTGGTTGACCATACTTCAAATAGAAATCTATTAACTCTCTGTCAACCTTCAAGTTTGGATGAGGGACATCGGCAGTGACATCGAAGCAATGAAATGTAAAAGCTTTTCGTGTGATTGGCATGTCAAACTGCGAGTCTTTGGTATTCTCACACTCAAAAGATGCAATTGGTTCCAACCAATATATGGAGGGAAACTCAATCGCTTGATTGATGAGTGTGTCTCTGTCCCATTCTGGGAACAGAGTCTTCTTGGCTTGTAGAGCATCCTCATCCTCCTTGAGTCTTCTTTCTTTGGCCTCTGCCTCTCGAGCTATTTTCATTGTTTCATCCAGCTCTTTGTCCCTTTTCTTTCGTTGAAGAGCTTCAGCAATAGTTTCATCGGTATTTGACTCGCTCTCAACAAGAAATTGTTTTCCAGAACCCGAAGCTAAATTGACCTTCGGTTCTGTCTTTGGAATACCCTCCTCTCCCTCTTGTCTCGGAAGAACAAGCTTCTCCGAGACACCCTTCATTTCGCTCAAGATGTTAATTGCAGGAAGGAGTTTAGCCTGGAGATGCTGTCTGATGGTAAGGGTAAGAAAGGGGTCATGAGTGTCAAGGACAGTTGTCAACATATTCTTGACATCACCAGCGCAACCTTGAAGAACAGCCCGCTGAGTTTTCAGCAAAGAGATTTCTTGTTGTGCCTGGGCCAGTTGTATCTTTTGAAGGTCAATAGTTGCCTGATGCTTGACAAGATCTTCTTTTAAGGTGCTCTCTGCTACTAGAGAAGCAAAACGTGAATCCAAAGATTTGAGAAAAGAGGTGGATTCAGTTTTGAGGTCAGCACGCAGAGCCTCAAACTTAGAGGTTTCACCCTGAAGGGTAGCCGAAAAGGAGTCTACAGATGTCTGAAACTTAGCCGCATTAGCATCAGCATGTGCTTTGAGAGAGTCAAGAAAGATCTGAGTTGTGTGAACAACCTCAGAGACTTCCTTTGTAGCTTTGGAGCATGAAGCTGTTGAGTTTTCAATGGCATCAGTGGAACGATCCAGAGCGTCAGTATATGTCTTGATCGCAGACTCGATGAAGGCTTTCAGCACCACACCCCCATAGGCTTTATTATCAGCCAGCAAACTGTCGAGTTTGTCATGAATTTCTTGAAGCTGCTAACTGGTAATAGGGGTATCGGCATCAGTATCTGTGGGAATCCGGTATGGGCTATAATAAAGAGAATCGTACTCTTCATCATCACCGCCCAAAGTAGCACCGGAGTTTGAGGATGGAGAAGGTGATTGTGGGATGTTGATGATGGGGGTTTCAACCACAGTAGTAGCCCCTGTATCAGATACATTGATTGTTACTGGTGGCTGGGAAAAGGTGGTAGTAACCGATTCGGTGATGATTGGAGTGGGGATAGAAGAGGTAGGTATAGTAACAGAGAAGGGAATGGTTGGTTCTGTTGTAGTGGGAGGGATGATTGTAGGAACAGAAAGTGGGACCGTCTGTTTCGGTGATAGGGGTGGGGTAGGAATTTTAGGAGAAGGTGGAGGAGTGGGTGGTTTTGTAATTTTGGGAGAAGCTGGTGGAGAAGGAAGATGAGTGGCTGCAGGAGAGGATGGTTGTTGAGGAGACTGAGCAGTAGTTGGCTCTGTTGGAGAAGCATGAGGAGCAGCAGCCTCTGTGTCGGATTAGTCATGTGGAACAGAGCCAAGAGAAGGGGATCCTTTGGCCCTCTTAGCCATCTTCTTAACTTTCTTGGATTTGGACCGAGAAGGTTCATCTGCATCATGTTTTCGCTTGGAGGATCTTGGCTTTCTCTCCTTTTTCGATTCAGATTCTTTCTTCTCTTGTTTTTCCTTTTTACTAGCCCTTTTGCCATGGTTGGAAGGTTGATCAAGGGCTTCCAATGCGGCTTTTTGTTCATCGGACAGAACCCTTGGAGGCAAGGGAGTTCTGGTGCTATAGTCCGCCATGATCTTGCTGTGAGGCGTGACACATCTGTACACGGATTCAGGGATTAATCCATAATGTAGAAACTTACTTGGATCAGAAACTATAATCTTCTTAGTATGGTAAGAGGCAATTGAAGCCAGAAGAGCATCCTTCATCACAGGGATTTCTAGGGAATCCATGGCCTTCTTCGTGATGAGCGTCCAGAAACGGCCGCAAGAGATCTCGGAGTACCGGGTGGTGGTGTTTAGACTCTGAACGACTTGAGACCAGATTATGGAGCCATAATCGAGGTTGATGCTGTTGTAAAGACCATAGAGAATGGTGAGAAATCCTTTACTCGTGGTATCAGAACCACCACAACGTTCCGCTAAACCCTTGATTAAAAGGGTAAGCAAGCCATTCCACTGAGAAGGAAGACAAGATTTCTTGACCTTCATGATTGTTGTAAGAACATCGGTATAGCCCATCTCGTACATCATCGAGAACAGTTGGGTAGTAGTGACAAAATCCGGTGAGATGACGGAAGAATCAACTGCAAGCCCTAGAAGAGAGCAAAACTTGGTTTTTGATACGGAGGTTTTCTTGTCATGGATGGTGAAGTAGATGCGATCTTTGTGTTTGTCATAACTTGCTGTTGTGTAGACTTGAGAAAGCAGGGACATCGGAACGGCTTCCACCTACGTGAGTGCCAACAGCAATGGTGAATATTTCAGACATTCCACCACATGGAGCATATACGCATCATATAGGAAAGGTGTCATCTCGATAATCATATTTTGATTAGGCTTGATGGAAAGCAAAGATGAAGAGGCAGTTTGATCGTGTGCAGAAGAAGAAGTCGCCATTGTTGAATCGAGGAAGAAGATGAACAGTGGAGCTTTTTCAGAGAGAGAGATTACGTGAGTGGTAAACGCCAAAGAACACGATCACCCCTTATTTATACCGCTCACTGGAGAGAGAAAATCGTGATGATGAGGGAACCAAAACATCGCCTGAAAAAGCGCGATTGGATGTTATGGTTTATCCCAGGAAGACGTCAGCACACGTGGGTGTGAAACGAATCATCTGCACGCGCCCAAATCATATTTTTGTACCGTTTGAAATTCCTTATGCCCTTGTTTGGTTACAACTGTAACTTAAAACCACATACCAAACAGCAATCAGAATGTTGGAAAAATTAATTTTCGTGCATAAGAGTGTGAAAGACAAAGAAATAAAGCAAAGGTGTTTGAGATGTGAGTGTTGTCTATGAAGAAGACAGAAGGCAGAAGATTCCAGGCAAGAATCACTTCCTTCAAAGTCAAGAGAGACTTGAAGTGCTTGTGCGGTTTCCCTAGAAATACGATCAATTGTCTGTTAATAAACAATGAAAGACATCTTTTGAGCATAGGCTGTGGGGTGGCTGTCCTCTAACTGAACATCAAGTCTCAACATAAAACTGAGTGTTGGCAGAGATACCTGTGAGACCGATGTGATCTATTGAACAGGTAGGTGGGAATTATCTGGACAAGCATGGGATAAACATAAATCTCAAAAAAAATTAAATTGGACCTCTTTGGGAAGAAATGTCTTAGGTAGAGATGATTTCATAAAAGATCACGCAAAATGAAAATGAGATTTCCAAGTAACATTTTGAGTATAACACACACTATCAATTCATTTTAGGTATCGGATGTT